TTCAGTTAATCAAAATCATTGTTTATTCTATTAAATATCAAAATAGTTTAAACTACCCATTGCATTTTTCCAAAGTCCTAGATGATTCTTCAAGTGCCATTTTGTCAGAGCGACAGTCCAAAACCAGATATTCAGTTTATGCTGATGTAAAACTGAGAGGAGGTCGTCACATTGGAGAAACTGGAACTATATAATTATTATTGCAGCTTCCACAGGTTCAGGTTTGGCTCCAGACCTGGGGGTGTTTTATAACTTACTAACAATTGCAATGCTGGATTTTCTAGCTAAGGTTATCTGGTTAGTTCAGTTCAGTAGAAAAGCTAGACTCAGTTGTCCAAGTACAACGCTCTGGTTACTGCTCATGTGACCCTGTAGACAGCAGAGGGTCATGGAGGGGGGGTGTAGCTGAGAGACACCACAAAGTGGAGCTGATGGCGATGTGGTCACAGGACAGCAAACTAACCTCCAATGTGACCAGTGCAGGCTTCCATACTGTTTCCGTGAAGTGAGGTGAAGTGTGTGTGTGTGTGGGCTGAAGGCACGAGAAAGTCTGTGTCGGTATCAGTCAGGCCTGTGTGAGGAGATAGTGGCGTGTGTGTATGTGCACGATGGATGTCTCCTATAAAATGAACAGCTGATGAAGAGCGGGAGCATAGACTGATGGCTCCTGTCGTCAATCTCTTATCTCTCCATCGTCTGCCGCTCCTCATCTTACCCAGCCCCCTTCTGTCTCAGCTTCACTGTGCTGCCAGCGTTTACCGTGCTCCCATTGGCTCTCGGCAGCCAGCAAAACATCTGATTGGCCAAATGTAGCCTCATTCTGCCAAGTCGCATTCCTGTTTATATCTACTGTGGTACTTTTCTCAGCTTTTTTTAGCCTGGAATGACTGTCAGTGTCAAACTGTTCTGCCAGAAGATCTCATTTTAGAACAACTACTCAAATGTGGTTTCGCATTTAGTGAATAAATCTTTTGTCTGTTCAGGGATGAAGCGGCAAAATGATTTGGTTTCAGGAAGCAATAAAGTTAACTGCATCTCGACCTTCAGACTGGACACTGTGCAGGAGAAAAGCTTCAAATATGCATTAAGATTTTTATTCTTACTTTAAAGGTAGTATATGTATATTTTTGTCTCACGCGAATAAGCGTTAGTTTTTGTCACTTTTTAGTGAAAAATACCTTTGTATTCCTCCGTGCCAGCATCTGTCCATACAATTCTCGTGATGTCTCAGGACAACCTTGAGGGAATTTCTTCAAATTTGGCAAAAATTGAGTCTTAAGTCAACAGTCCAGGAAAACTGTCCACCTAATCGATACAGTGAAGCATCCTGCCTGGAAAGAGAGTGGCCTAAATGTTCAACAAAAAATGTTCCTGAAAACAAAAGGTTTAAAATGTGAGGAAAAAGTCTGCTGCGTAAAGGTGAGTCATTTTTATGTTTAATTGGTTTAAAGCACTTTTATTTTACTTGTGGATTTAAATCAGGCCGCTTTCAGTCTACACAGTGGCAGGGTCAGTTTTAGCCGTTATTTACAATTTGGACTAGATCCATGTTAGCATTCACTGCCTGTTCACTGGTCAGTCACATCGTCTGTGCAGGCTCGGGTTAGTTCTTAGTCAGAATGGTGGTCCCTGGCTCACAACAGCTTGAAAACCCCTGGTCTAGATTAAAAAAAAAAAAGTTACTGTACAAATTGAATTCTGAGGTTTCTTTGGGCCAAAGGTGTCAGATAAAGGATGTGAACATTGAACTTGGTCGTCATGGAGAATTCTCTCTCTTCAGGCTCGATGGGGACCGGAGGGAGGGTGTGCAACCGGACATCTCGTGGCGTGGACAGCTGCGAGGTGATGTGCTGTGGCCGAGGGTACGACACGTCACAGGCCAGCCGCACCACCAAGTGCGAGTGCAAGTTTCACTGGTGCTGCGCTGTGCACTGCCGCGACTGCCACCAGCAAGTCGACGTGCACACCTGCAAGAGCCAGACGTGACCTGAACACTACTGACGATAAACCAGCAGTCGCAAAGGATCACGGTGCTACTGCCACCTTGACTGCTGAGCTACAAGTTTCCCATCTGAAATGATATTCTGACTTTGTGCGAGGCCCCCGTTTCTGTGGCAGAGCCCCTGTCAGGCAGCAGCCAGCCTGGGTTTCTGTTGGAGTCTGGCCAACTTGGTTTTCAAAAGCTGACTGGCTCAATCAGAATTTAAAAAGGCCCCTTCAGGCTGATA